CTAGTATTTTCCTTTATTTTAGAAATTTAGTTTTACTTTTCGCAAAAAATAAAAAATAAAAAAATGAAACTTTATGATGCTTCGTTAATTTTACAATATTGAATTATGTTTACCCTTTTAAATTTAAATTCAAGTTTTTTAAATATATCTATTTTATTATATTGATAGATTTATGATGGATTGTCAAAATACCTGCTTGATTGATATTGCAACTACATATAATATTCTTAAAGATAAAAAATATTTTTTGAACTTATTATTAGTAGACAATAATATTAATATAATATCAAGTACATTGGATATCGTTGAAGGCTTCTAAAGAGCTTGTATTATTTTACCAAATAATACAAAATTATATATTGACGATGTACTTATTCTAGCAAATTCACCAGAATTTTGTTTAGTTTTAAAGATATTCGTCGCAATTAATATTATATTGAGACAATATAGGAAAATAATGTTGAATATTTTTGCATAACTTTTTCGTATCTAGCAAGAAACAAATAATAGAAAAAATTCATTTACTCCTATCTGGTACGTATTATACATTTATAAAAATGGTTCAAAAAAATATTGTCACGAATCTGAAGTTCATTGACCCAAAAAGTTTTATACTTTGGCATGATAGGCTTGGGCATCTAGGAGTTATACTGATGCGTCGAATAATAAATAACTTACATGGACATTCTTTAAAGATCTAGAATATTCTTTTACTTAATGATTATCCATGTGTAGCTTATTCGTAAGGCAAGTTGGTCATTAAACCTTCGAATACCAAGGTCAATATTGAAGCTCAACTTTTTTGGAAAGAATTCACGGAGATGTATGGGTTAATACACCCACCATGTGGATCATTTCGTTATTTTATGGTATTAATTGATTATTCTACTAGATGGTCGCATGTTTGCCTATTTTTCACTAGGAATGTAGCCTTCGTTAGACTACTTGTTCTAATCATAAAATTACGGGCGCAATTCTCCGATTACTCAATCAAGACTATTTGTCTTGACTTTAGATCATAAGCATTCAATAATTATTGTATGTCCATTGAAATGTAATTGAACATTTAGTTGCGTATGTTCATACACAAAATAGTTTAGCGGAGTTGTTTATTAAATATCTACAACTTATTTCTAGACCATCATTTATGAAATTAAAACTACCAACTTTTGTTTTGGTTATATCATATTACATGTTGTATCATTGGTTCTTATTAGACCAACTACATATTATCAATATTCATCTTTGTAACTGACACTTGGTCATGAACTTGATATTTCTTACCTATGGGTTTTTGGTTGTGCTGTCCAAGTCCCTATTTCAACCCCACAACGTACACAAATTGGTCTCCAACAAAGACTTGGGATTTATGTGAGTTTTGATTCACCATCTATAATTAGCTATATTGAACATTTAACGGGTGATTTATTTACTACATGTTTTGCAGATTTTTATTTTATGAAATCCCAATATTGGGAAGGAAAAAACTACATCCTGAAGAATTAAGTAAAATTTATTAGAATGAAACAATTCTACCTCATTTTGATCCCCACAATAATCAATGTGAGCAAGAGGTTGAAAAAATCATTCATTTATAAAATGTTGGAATCAATTACCTGATATATTTGTTGACACTAGAAAAATGACAAAATCATATATTCTAGTAGAAAATATTCAAACAAAAATTGATGTATCTAAAGGATAATTTGCTGTAGCAAATGACTCTCAAATATTTCATAAGTATGGTCGACTAGTCAGTTCAAAATACTTTGTACCTCGAAAAAGAAAAGTACAAGAAAAAACCAACCAAAAACTTCAAAAGAAGTAACATTAGAAAAGATTGATCAATCAAATATTAAAAATATGATTTCTGAAAAATCACAAGTATCCGAAAATAATGAGATTTCAATAAATTATATATTATCTCATAAATTATGGAAACGGAATAATGTTTTTTATAGACAATATTTTCATCTTTGACATGGCTCTTGCTAGTATGCAAAATGAGGATTCTCAACCACGATCAGTTAAAAATTGTCAAATAGAAATGATTGGTCAAAATGAAAAGATATCATACATGCGGAATTAAATTCTTTAGAGAAACGAAAATTGTTTGGACCATTAGTTCGAACATCTAAAAATGTAATCCCTGAAGGATACAAATGAGTTTTTGTATGAAAAAGGAATAAAAATAATGAAATTATAAGATACAAAGCTTAACTCGTAGCTCAAGGTTTTTCACTAATACTAGGAATTAATAATGAGGAAATATATTCTCTTGTAAGGTACACTATTACTTTTACATTCTTAATGAGTTTGAATGTGTCACAAAGCTCTAATATGCTCCTTATGGATGAAGAACTGCATATCTATATGATTCACTTGATAGACACACACACACACACACACACACACACACACACACACTTGAATGTGTCACAAAGCTCTAATATGCTCCTTATGGATGAAGAACTGCATATCTATATGATTCACTTGATAGACACACACACACACACACACACACACACACACACACACATATATGAAAGTCTCCGAAGGACTTAAAGTGTCAAAAACAAATGATACATGTCGAAGAACCATGTTCTCAATTAAATTGCAAAGATCGTTATATGGATTGAAACAATTCGGATGCATGTGGTATAATCGTTTTAACGAATATTTGTTGAAAGAGGGTATAAAAATAATGATATCTGTTCATGTGTATTCATAAAGAAAATAGGTATTGAATTTTCAACTGTGGCGATTTATATTGATGATTTAAATTTAATTGAAATTCCTGAAATGTTTAACAAAACTATTGATTATTTGAAAAATGAATTTGAGATGAAAAATTTGAGAAAAATCAAATTTTGTCTCAAGTTGCAGATTGAACATTTCTCAGAGGGATTATTTGTTTATCAATCTACTTATACAAAAAATATCTTAAAGCGTTTTTATATGGATAATGCACATCCATTGACATCATATATAGTAATTCAATCACTTGATGTGAAAAAAGATCAATTTCGTCCACTTGAAAATGAAAAAATGTTATTGGTGCTAAAATAACATATCTTAATGCAATTGAAGTATTAACTTATCATGCAAATTGCACTAGACCCGCCATAGCTTTTTTGTGTAAATTTCCTTGCAAGATATAACTCTATGCCAAGTTATAGACATTGGTATGGTGTTAAACATATTTTTTATTACCTAAAGGTCACTATTTGATTTGGGATTATTTTATTCTCAAAATTCGAGTTTTGCTTTAGTAGGATTTGCAGATGTAAGTTATCTCTCTGATCCACATAAAGCTAAAACACAAATAGGATATGCGTTTGCATGTGGAAGAACAACCATATCATGGAGATCTATGAAATAATCATTGACAGTAATATCCTCAAATTATTATGAAATTTTTGCAATTCATAAAGCAAGCCGAGAATCTATATGGTGAGGATCATAACCCATCATATCCAAACATCATATGAGTTAACTTAAACAAAAGATAGTCTAAAATTTTTATATAAAGACAATACATCTTGTATTGCACAATTCAATTGAGGTTAAATCAAAGGTGACACGACGAAGCATATTTCACCAAAATTCTATCATACACATTGCCTCTGTTTGATTCCCATTTTTGGGATAAAATGTATTATAGAATATAGGTTTTTTTGGAAATACGTATATAATTATTTTATAGAAGAATGTGTGGTTGGAAATGAGTTTTGAAAGAATGTATTCTTGAAAAAATGAGGTTCAAACAAGGGCATAAGTTTCAAAAGAATGACGACGTCGATATCTAACAAATTCATTTTAAGTGATAATGTGGCCGATTTATTCACAAAGCATATCCGACATCTATATTCAATATATTGCCTCACAAGATTGGAAATGTTTCGACTCAAAGATTTTCGGTGATCAACATTAAAGAGTAGCTGTACTCTTTCTACTTTCCTTAGGTTTTATCATATTGAATTTTCCTAGCAATATTTTAATGAGACAACATTTATTTTTAATACTTCTAAAATAACTGTACTATTTATCCTTCATTTAAATTTTTTGTCCCATTAAATTTTATTAAACAAAGTTTTAATGAGACAAGTATTTTGTAATGTGTCATTTAAGAGGATGTTGTAAATGATAATTTTATTAGGGTTTATTAGTAAAGGACAATTTTACCCCTGCAACCCTAGCAATTATTATTATTGTATCTCTAATTCTTACTTATAAATATAGTGTTTTTGTTCTCTGTTTTGATTCCCGTTTTTGGGATAAAATGCATTATATGGTTAAAAAAGAAGGAAATTTTTTTGAAATATGTGTATAATTATTTTATAGAAAAATGTGTGGTTGAAAATGAGTTTTAAAAGAATGTATTCTTGAAAAAATGAGGTTCAACCAAGGGCATAAGCTTCAAAAGAATGACAATATCGATATCCAAAAAATTCGTTTAAATGATAATGTGACCGATTTATCCACAAAAGACAGCCGACATCTATATTCAAGAAATTGGTTCACAAGATTGGAATGCATCGATTCAAAGATTTTCAATGATCAATATTAGGGAGTAGCTGTACTCTTTCTACTTCCCTTAGGTTTTATCCTATTGAATTTTTCTAACAATGTTTTAATGAGGCAATATTTATTTTTAATACTTCTAAAATAACTGTTTGATTTTTTTGTCTCATTAAATTTTTATTGAACAAAGTTTTAATAGACAAGTACTTTGTAATGTGTCATTCAAAAAGATGTTGTAAATGATAAGTTTATTAGGGTTTATTAGTGAATGACAATTTTATCCCTGCAACCCTAGCAATTAATACTATTATATTTCTGATTTTTACTTATAAATATAGGGCATTTGTTCTTAATAAAATATACAAAAAAAAATTACCTTTTTCTCTCTTTTCATAATAGTTTGATGTAATTTTTTGGAATATATATTTTGTGAGAATTGACACTTTTGAGATTATCTCATTTAGAAAGTAAAGAAAACTAATGAGGAATTGGGTTAAAAACACCATCAGAAAGCGCAGACCTGCCGAAGTCGAAATAAAGACCAAAGAAGAAATGATCCTATCAGAAAGAATTATGAATTCAAGAATGAGTATTCTTCTCTCATTCGCCATTTTCTTCCTATTCTTCGCAATCCCGTTAGCACCATGTTTAGCAAGCCCTTCTGAATACCAATTCCACAGTGATATTAATGGAAATGGTAATAGTAATAGTAATAGTAATAGAGAAAATATGCAAGCAAAGGGTGGACCAGAGGATCTGGTGTGGGTGGTGCAGCTGTCTGATCTCCACTTCAGTGTGCACCACCCTGAAAGGGCCCAAGATTTCAGGGACATTGTGGGCCCCACTCTCTCCTTCATCAAACCTTCATTAGTTTTCATCACTGGTGATCTCACTGGTAAGTATTGTTGCTACTTCTTAATCTTTGTTATCTTATTTTTTATAGATGAGCTTATGGGTTCAATCAAAATGAAGCTGATTCCTTCTTTTAGAGCTCTAGGTTTTGGGTTTTGGTAGTTATATATTAATTTTTTTAAGAAACTTTTCGTTTTGGGGGTTTTCAAACCATTTTTTGGCTAGTTTTGATTTTTTTTCTTTTAATTAATAAAACATCCCCTTCATGCGACCTAATTTTAGTTCTAAATTTTGGGAGTTCCTATTTACTTTTGAAGAAAGAATACATTTTGGGGGTTAGGGTGTTAAGCACTCGGGTTTTTTTCAATGAACTGTGAGGTTTGATTGTATTCCTCTCAATGGAGGGAGTATTTTATTTTTTTATTTCTTTTCTCTGCCTGAAAAATAATAGAGAAAGGCAATGTGAGATATAACATGAATTCTGGCAAATGCAATGTAGTTGGACTCTAGTGATGGTCCTAATGAATCATCCTTTCCATGGAGGTCAATCTTTGCACAATATGTATCTCGTTGCTATGGATAGACACCTACTAATCTTAAGGAATTTTTATTATAACATTTATTTTTCTGAGTTACTACCTTTGGCTTGGCCTGCAGTTGCTAGCAGTAGTCTTCTGTGGTGAGAATTATTTTATTTCTTTGGGTGAGGGGTGGGGTTGCGTGTACCGATTAAGTACATCCGATATTACATGGAGGAAAAAATGCCAATGTTGGATTACTGTGAATCGCATCTTTTATTTTAAGATACATGGTTTCTTCACCTTTATTCGTTTCTCATAATTTGTTTTTCCTTATATGGACTGTATTTATGAGTTTCAGTGTTTCACCTGTGAGTCATGTTGATTGTATGGAATGCAATAAATGGAAGATCTTTTAAAGAATAATACATGAATTTGATGGTTTCGTTTTGTTTCTTGTGGATGGAGAGTCGTGCTCCATTTAAGGCGCAACATATATATTCAGCACCTGAATCTTGATTACTCAAGTTTGCTGTAAATCTCCTGATTTCTATAGGATATTGTCACTTCATGCATCTGCATGACATAAAACGGTTCCACATGGACATAAGAAGGGGCACGTGTATTATCAAAATCACGTTTTTTATGGAGCAAGCTCAGAATAAGCTTGGCCATAGGTGAAGCATTAGTATCAAACTGTCCCAAGTTCCATCTGGACGAGGCCGAACCTTTGAGACCGAAGCATTACAATCAAACTTAAACCATTAGATTGGAACTCAAATGAATGCACAGAACCCATAGTCTTGGGAGGCAAATGAATATCTTTTCTCCTTAAGGGAAAACATATAAATGATTCACCAACCACGTGGCAATGTAAGAATTTGCCTTTTGGCGGAAACATTTGAAAAAAGTGTGAGAATGGTGATTTGGATAATCTCTTGAAAGTGACAACCAGCTCAATGGAAGGAGGACACATGTCATGTAACTGTCTAAAATGGGATTTATTATAGGCTCACCATTAATAAAGCTACGCATGTCTAAATGATGTGAAAAAAAGACCAAAAAGCCCCAAAGCTTAGAAAATCTATGAACACCTTGTAGTTTTACAAGGAAAGCAGGCAATAGGATACACCTTAGCCAAGTTCTTGCTCTTCATCAACAGAAACTCGTCGATTGGAGCTCCAGTGGCCGAAAAAGGGTCTAAAGGGGTGACTAAGCAAGGAGGTGGCTGAGGATTCATTGGCTTGCATTTTTTTGAGGTCAACAAATATAAAATTCAGTTGGATGTATTATATTGGAGGCTTGTTAGTGCTTGAAGACCATGATTGCGTGTTCTAGGAGCTCTTCATATTCTTGCAAACTTACTGTGCACTATTAACTCACAATATATGCCAAGTCATACATTATTTGTTGAGGTCAACAAATATAAAATTCAGTTGGATTTATTATATCGGAGGCTTGTTAGTGCTTGAAGACCATGATTGCGTGTTCTAGGAGCTCTTCATATTCTTGCAAACTTACTGTGCACTATTAACTCACAATATATGCCAAGTCATACATTATTTGCACACTCTCTCACGTAGAAACAACTGTATGTTTATGTACACTCACTTCATTATTGAAATGTTATTAGGCCATTATATGGAAGGAAAAGAGAATTGAAATGTTATTAGGCCATTATATAGAAGGAAAAGAGAAACTAGCTGTGGAGACTGAATTTATATGTACATTTCTGTGCTTACTGCTTATACTCGAGTAGAGTCAGTATACTGATTAGATGGTCACATAAATTCTTAAATATGTCCACTCTGTAGATATTCATGATGAAACATATTAATTGAGAATTAAGAAATGAGGAAGTCCTGTTAATCTCTAGTTTTTGCTGCAGTTTGGTATGTACAACAAAGTATTGATAATTGTGCTTCACCATTGTGCATTAGTTAACCTTCATGGCCTTTTTTAATTAGCCCCTATTTGATGGCCATTATTTGAGAAAATAATGTTTTGAATAGTGATTTTTTGGAGAATATGTAGTTAAAAACTAGGAAAAAGTTTTAGGTTTACGTGCAAAATATTTTATTGTGTGAACGTGTGTTTGAAAATGAGTATGCAGAAAAAGTAGTTTTCAAATAAAGGTTGTGAAACATGGGCATAATTACTTATCTAGCTCCTGTTTGGACTCCATTTTAATTTTAATGCATTTTCTCTTTCTTCTTTTTCAAGTTTCAACCACACACTTTTCAATGAAATAATATTACACGTAAATCCAAAACTTTTCCTTTTTTAACCCTACATTCTCCAAAAAAAATCACTATTCCAAAATACATTTTCTCCTAAACCTCATTAAAATGGAGCCCAAACAAGGGCCTAATGCCTATTTTCGAACATGCTGCTTTAGGCTATATTCTGACATTCAAGATTTACATAATTTTAAATATGTTTACATCTTCCAGATGGCAAGAGCAAGGATTTATTAACAATGAAACAAGATGAAGCTGAGTGGGTTGAATACCAGAACATCATGCACGACGTTGTTAAAAGGAGTGGACTTAATAAGAGCGCCTTTTACGATCTCAGAGGAAATCACGATAATTTTGCTGTACCAGTCATTGGTGGGCCATTTGACTTCTTTTCAAAATACAGCCTTCATGGGCAGCTAAAAAGAAGTGGCAAAGTCAGTAGTATCACTGTCGAGGTAGGTGACTTCCACAATAATTATTTCAATTTGTTTTGTACTTTTTGTGAGGATACTGCATATCAACATAATATGGGCTATGAGTGTGGGAAGTATTGGTTGAAAGTCATTGTTCGAACTCACCAGCTTCAAATATAAAATTCTCTTTAATGGGGGAAAACTATCAATATGTTCACAACTCCGACATTAATTTAATTTTTTTGATCGATTGGAAATTCCCATGAAGTAGCATGATTCGCTGGAAGCATATAGTTCCTTCATAGAGCTTCTTAAATCAACCAGTCTCAAATCTCGTGATTCTTTTCATCCATCCATTTTTTATAAATCTGACTACTGCTTATATCTCATATTATAATAATTCTTTTGACACCTCCGTAGAGATATATATATTGACGACTTAAAATGTGATGTAAAATTTGCTCCTTTTAGGTGCCTCCCCCATAAAGTCATTACCTTTTTGGGGAAAAAATGCTAAAAGAAATTGTTATTCAGATCATGTTTGAACAACTGCCAGCAATTTACCTTTGGATGACTATTGATATTTGAACTCTTAAATTAATTCTATGTATTTTTGCATTCCTGTATGTACTTTGACTATCCAGACAAGCAAACGGAAACTTCTTTTTGTTGGGTTTGACAGTACTATGTCTACTGGGTTACGAGGCCCAACCAATCTGTTTGGTCATCCGACTGATGAATTATTAACCGAAATAAGTTCCGAACTTTCACTATTGGATTCTCAATCAGCTTGGCCAGTTACCAAGATCTCCTTTGGGCATTTTCCTCTTTCATTTTCTGCAGCCTCAAATTCTGGAAAAACCCTCAAGGATGTATTCTTGAAAAACTCTGTAATGGCTTACTTATGTGGGCATTTACACACTAGATTCGGTAAGAATTTAAAACGGCACCATGAATCAAGTCATCATACACTATATTCCAACCGATTATTCCAGTTGAATGCTCATCCAAATCCTTCAGAAAATACAGCCAATTCTAATGGTGAAATAATTGAAGAATTCTGGGAATGGGAAATGGGTGACTGGAGGAAGAGTAGAGCGATGCGCATTTTGGCGATTGATCGTGGGCTAATATCATTTGTTGATATCGATTTTAAGTTGGGAGTGAATAAAACTATTATACTTCCAACATTTCCACTTGACTCACGCTTTACCACATCATTTCAAAACCAGAATTGTCACACATCAGACCCTTCTTCTTGTGGAACTGTCAGAGCTCTGGTTTTTCCTGCTTCTCCAATTGTGTCAGTCGTGGCTATGGTCTATGATACTAGTCCTGAAAAGCTAGTTGTAGTGCTGGAGACACCCATGACAAAGCTTGCAGGATCCCGGGGGGACCTCTATGTTGCTCCATTGAATTTCAAAGCTTTTGAGGATCCGTCTCCTGAAAGATTTTTATTGCAAATACAGGCAACTGATATTATGGGCAAATCAACTTATACTGAACGAAGGCCGTTTTCAGCAAATGGTCATCATGCCAGGCTTTCATGGAGTTGGAGAGAGTTTTTGGTTATGGGTTGTCAATGGGATGCCTTGTACTACCCGATACTATGGTCCTTATATTATTTAGCATTCTCCATTCTTCTCTTTCCAAAAGCAATCCTCTCATTTTCAAAAAAGCAGTACACATATAAGAATTTTAAAGCCAATAGATGCGTCACCTATGGCCTTGCTTGGATTTTTAAGGAGTTGTATGAAGTTCCGATGGTATGGTACTCTATGGTAGGTTACATGTTGTATCTTGTGTTATGTCCTTGGTTTTCTGGTCAAATTTTGTCTGAAGGTATAGAACGAGGATACATGACGTACAGAGGTTGGGTATTGAAAATCAATAAAATGGAAAAGTTAGAATTTCTCGGATTTCCAGATGTAATGGTAGTCGTTCTTCCTCATATTTTTTTCATAGTTTTGCCTGCATATACAGTGATCATGGCATTAGCAGCTGAAAAGGGAATATTTCATGATCATCTTCTTTCTGTTTCAAGTAAGAAAAAGGATGATCACGGTTCAGAAAACAAGGATTCCGCATTGATGAACAATTGCAAAAATAGATCAGAATTCATTCTGTGCAGACGGTGGATTAGGAAAATTCTCCTGGCGATTTCTTTGTTGATTTGTTGGAGGCATTTCAAGGTACATTTTAATCCCACTTTTTACAATGAAAAATGGTAAATGAACTTGACTGGATTTTTGTGAGATTTGAAAGGAAAAGATTAGCTTCGACTTATATTCTGTGTGCGTTATTATCTTGTTATTAATTCGTACTTCCTTTCTCCATTGCTGATGCAGAACTGCAGAGCTCTTACAAAAGCGTACGAGATGAATCCAATTATCCATTATCCGGTTTATAGCCTTGTGATTCCACTGATGTTGGCGTACACCATCTACAAAACGCGAAGAACTTGATTTGCATTTCCAGAAAATAGGTTGGCTTCACCATTCAAGTAGTAGTTGTCTAGTAGCAGAACATAGATTTAGCAAAGTTACACACTTTTCACTTCTCAGTGTCATTAGCTCACACTTCAACTCCAAAGAGCTTATATTATACATTGATGCTTCTTTTATTGATATAGTTTTCAAACTATTCTTTACTACTTGATAATAGAAGGAAGTTGCACTTCGTTTCAAATGTTAGAATGTGAAATGATAATACCATAAACATGTTAGTTTGTATAACAATTGTACATTGTGGACAAGGGGAAGAAAAGAAGTTAAAATTTTATTTATAATACCGAAGAATTTTGTTTGATACATCGTATCAAACATGTTTTAACATAGACTTGTGCCAAGATAAGTGAAATGGAAAGTGTTTCCAAGAGCAAGAAATTGGGTACTTGTCCCTGAAAGGATAACAATAAGTTAAATAGGCAAGTAACGGAGATGATTTGGAAAATTTCAATCTAGATTAGGTTGATATGGTGGATAAGATTTTAACCTTTTTTTTCTGAAGTTATCTAGTAATGTCAGTTGAAATGATAATAAGGCCGTGGTCGCAAATTGATTTGGCTAATACCGTAGATAACATTTTGACGTCCTTCTCGAAACACTTCAGTACGTTTTACTAAAAGAAAGTTGTCACTTTTATGTTAGTTGACATGACATCAATGGCACGAATGCAAATTGTATAATTTTTTCCTATTGTTACGAGTTTGTTCAATCATACTACTAGTACAGAAAATTCTTACACTTTACTTGATAGAAAAACACATGACATAAAGTTATTGGCTCTTTTAAAAAGAAAATAGCTTTTGACAATTTTTCAACCAAACAAAGTTTGCCAACTGAGATTTGTCAAAAGGGGGCGATCGTATTTTTCTGTACAAATGGCGTTATTCTTGTTCAATATGTAATATTGGACTGTATTAGATACTAGTTAAATTTAAAATAATAATCTTTTATGAACTATAATAAATAATTTTAAAAAATCATTTAAAACATTTTCAAAAGATTCTTTAAATAGTTAAGAACCCTTGCACTTGATTTGCAATGATGCAATGATGTGAGTTTTGTTACCCTATTGAAATTTTAAAACAATTCAAATGAAAATTACAAAAATACAACCATATTCAAATCTTTCATAAAATTATACTTTAATCAATATTGAACTTCTCTAACTAAATAAAATTTTGTTTTCAAACGAATAAAACATTCCTTCATGTGTGTTTTTTATTTTTTATTATTTTTAAGATTATCTTAATGTAAAATATTGATAGTACATCATGAACGGGAATCAACTTTCCTTTTTAGGGAAAATTCTAGTTATGGTCCTAAATCTTTCATTTTGTTGTAATTTATACTCAAATATTTCATTTGAATCACCCACAATCACAATTTTTTCATTTTATTACAGCAGAAGGATGAATAGACCAAATATATATATATATATATATATATATACATACACCAATTAAAAGAAGAGCAAAACTTTATATTTTTCATATAAAATAATTAAAAACAAAGAAAAAAGAAAATTAAAATATACCATTCATCTTCTTTTCCCAAACCCCCACCCCTAATCGACCAAATCCACCTATACTCTCCTTGCTCGCTGTTCTAGGTGATAGTCTTGATGTACAACTAGTCCTAAATCATTCACTTTGTTGTAATTTATACACACATCTTTCATTCGTCTAGTTCACGGTCACAAATTTTTCATTTCATTGCAGCAAAAGTACAAACAAACGTATTCTGTTAGGGTTATTGAGACTATTGAGACAATTAAAAGAGTGTTTTCTTGTTCAAGAATCTTTTTCCTTTGTTTTAAATCATTGGGTTATTCCATCATTAGTTGTCCAAAAAAATTAATTGATTTTGACTAAAAGAAAAGCGCAATTGTAACTTTATATTTTCCATATAAAATAATTAAAAATGGAAAAATTAAAACATTCATCTTCTTTTCCTAAATAATAATAA